TGCTCTCACCATATACATTGGCAAGATAATAACTGTGGGTTTATTTGGAGTTTTGTGTCCAAATCATGCATGGGCTGAATTGTTCCTTTTCCCTCCTCATCCCCTCTTCCTTTAACATCATTTTTTTTTAAAAAAAAAACCTTGCAAGCCTGAGACCAGGGACTTCCTCATTTATACTACTCTCTAAATCTGTCTGAAACACTTTTTTAAGTAAAAGAATGGATTATAAACATATTTATTAATAATAACAATTTATAAAATAAAGGAAAAGGGATATTTATGACTGGTCCTTGGTAAGCATGTGATAAAATAGACCGGCCTTTACAATGTATAAAAATCTGTAGCGAAAGAAAACTCAAATAAGACATTTTTAGCTATGTTGCAATATGTACTTCAAATATTAATGTGTATTAGTAAATATTTTAGGCCAAAAGCAAAGCATACTATCAAAGCATTGTATCCAAAAATAATACATTTGTATCTGTTTCAGCATTTTCCACTAGCGCCTACCACTATCTGTGCCTTTTCCTCCAGAAAATAATCATGGGATTCTATGGTTTTATGACACAAAACTCCTACGGTTTTACTTACTGTCAGATGGAGTTGAGTGCATTGCTGGGTCCTTCCGTTGTGCTTAAGATAGACCTATGTCCGCTGTAGGTGTAACCTCTTCTCCACAATATATAACCAGATGGGGTCTTAGTCATAAGACCCCTGCTCCAAAGGGCACCCAATGACTGTGGACTCTGTTGGCGATGTCTGTACCACCCCAACCAAATTCCTGTAGGCTCTGTAGGGAGCCAGGCAAAGAGGTACAGCAAATCCCAGCGAGGTACTGAGGGAGCCAACAAGCACCATTCAAGTCTCCGGAGGCGTGTGACCTGCTTCAGCTCAGAAAGGTATCACCTGCCAGCATCACTTCCATTCCCTCCCCCAAATTTTACACATTCCACAGATTTGCTAAGGGAAGCGGAAAGGGTGGCAGGTGTGTGCCAGGCACAGTGCTGGTCTTAAACCCAGACAGTGTGAGGGATTAAGGAGGAGAAGAAGGCCTGACCATGCTAGACAAAATCCTTATGAGTCCTTACTCCATCCAAACCTTTTGTCATGCTAATTAAGGAACACTGAAAAAGAGACCAATCTGATCGGCTGATTCTCCTGCTGTTCTTTAATTACAACTCTCTCTAAGAAGAAAGGAAGAACTTGGAAAAAAATATGTATGAAATTGCAGCTAAGCTGCATTTTTTTTTAAAATGAAACAATTGTGGATAGCTGACATTAAGGTGTTCCAGTGCACTGACAAACTTGGAGATTAATAGTACAGAGGAGAACTGGAAGAATGAAAGGACCCAATTTTTTCCCCCCTCTACCAACTTTTAAGAAATGACCCATGGCTTTGTCTGAAGTCAAATAATGTAGTACTCTGTTTTCCCGAAAATAAGGCCTCCACATCTAATAAGCCCAATTGGGGTTTGGAGCGCATGTGCTAAAATAAGCCCTCCCCAAAAATAAGCCCTCCCCAAAAATAAGCCCCCCCAAAATATTGCAACATAGCAGCAGCCATGAAGTGACCACACTCACCACCTCCTGCACCTCAAAAACAATAAGACTTCCCTGAAAATAAGGCGAAGTGCTTATTTCAGGGGTCAAAAGAAAATAAGACCCTGTCTTATTTTCGGGAAAACACAGTCATATTGATCTAACTACGCCATTTCAGAATTTGGTCACTTTTTGGCAAAAGAGCAGTATGGTAACATTCAGGTTCAACAGAACACTCCTTTGGCACCTGAAGAGAATTCTGTAAATAAATAAGTTACACTCAGAAGCTTGTTGTCTGATGCCTATGACCTAGTATTTGTTTATGAGACCTGACTTAAAACTGTGATATTAAATTACTATAATGTATGACAGGATAAATTTGTAGAGTGGTGTTGGACTTTTAAAAGTGGGAAGCTGGATAATTAAAATTAAATCGCACAGGTTGGGTCTCCTCCGGATTCCATCTGCCAGCCAATGTCGGCTGGCGACTCCCTGGGGGAGAGCCTTCTCTGTTGCAGCTCTGGCCCTCTGGAACGAGCTCCCTGTTGAGATCCGGATTTTTACTACCCT